TTAAATGTGACACATTTTCTACAAATACGAATGTGTTTTGAAGCCGAGTTTTACCGATTGTCACCTTTGTAAACAATTAACAAAGAAGAATAGATATTCAGGTAAGCACGTGTATAACAAGTACAATGACATATATATTATTTCGATGATGGAGCGATGTTTACGTTTGTTAAGTTTCTCTGCCAATTTGATTTTTGATTTTCCCGCTTCGCACTTACGTATTGCGATCACCGGATTTTTACGAGAAAGTTCACGCTGCGGTAACTGCATATGCCGGCGAATTGTTGTCTTGGAAACCAACAATTCAAAAAAAGTAAATTTCTTTTAAATTTGGACAAATTGAAGTATTTTCTTCAGAAAAAAGTATATGTACACAAGTTTTATAATAAAAACTAGCCATTTAGTTATAAAAAATATATGCATCATTTTAATTTGAAGTTTCATATGACTTTAAATTTGATATACATGCACAATTCACTGATATATGATTACAAGAGACGTCATACAAAATCCGTCACATATTTTTTTACTTAAAAAGAAGAAATATCCTAGACAATGTGGATCGCCGTATAAACTTGATATGATCTTTCTTTCATATTTGGAACAAAAACCTTTTAAGTTGACTTATCTATACGGTAAAATTTTATGTTCTCTTAGCTTTCATACATTTATTTTAACAAAGTAAGACGTTGTTATCTAAATTGAGGCATTTTATAAAAATGTAAGTTTGTACACAAAAATATACATACAGACAGAAACTTTCACTGTTTCTGTAACCTGTATTGAGAATAATGAAGTAAGGAAATGTAGAAGGTATCTCTCATTTCTTGTCAGTACGGGTTCGGAAATTCCAACTTCTAATAGATATGCAAGTTTATCGCGTTCGTACTGTAGAACATGCAAATCGTGTTGGAGTCTTGTGATTTCATGTTGTTGAATTGTTGAAACTAATGCATCATCAGATCCAATCTTTGTTCTCGTAACTATTGTATTGGCATCAAGCAAGTATTGAATTAATTCTGTGTCATATCCTAAACCTTCCATTTTTTTTCAGGGTATGTCTCATTTGTTTAACTGCATTCTTCAAAGAGATATTTTCGAGCGACATCTTCTCCGGAGTATGCATGGCACCAACGAATTGTTGGACAAGAACACCGGCAATGGTTGCTATTCTGTTCTGAGCATTTTTCTGTATGTCGTCTTCCCTTTTCTGACACCATCTTAGCTTTTGTTGAATTTTTAATACCTCAATTTGCAGGTCTTCAACATTTTTATCGAGTTTGTATTTCTGGTCCAGAAGAATTTTAACCTCTGCGTCTTTGTCAATTTCCTCATTCTCATTAGGACACTTAACGTCTGTAAAAAATATAAATTTCATTTACTAATCTGAAGTCAATGTGCGGTATACTTCATTTCATTTCAAGAAAAAAACTTGTTTAACAATATTTATTTTATCCCTTACGCTTTTGTTATACATTGTAAAGACAAATTTCCATGTCAATAACACAAAGTGTTTGACGTCTCATTTTTTAATCTTCACTTGAGATTTGATACAGTGTCAAAACCTTTGACCCTTCTTCACTAGAAACCACTTATCCTTTTTTGTCTGTCTGTGCACTTAGATAACGAAAACATGCAATACTTTTATTCTTTAACATTATACAACCTGTTTTGCACGTCTGCTGTTTTCTTTTAACCGCTTTTCCTGAATTTGTATTTGAAAGATCTTTCAAATTCTCTAAATTAACGAGAATTCTAAACATATTGTTTTGTAAAAGGACTTGAATCACATTCCCTTTAAAAAGAGCGACGAAAGATACCAAGTGGATGCTTAAACTCACAAGTTAAAAACAATCTGACAAGGCCATAGCATAAAACGAAAAATGGCACATAGTCATCAATATTATGATGGATTGCGGAAACTGAAAAAAGAAGAAGAAAACAACGTTACTGTACAAATACCAGCGTATAGCTACCTGGGTACCTATATGTTGGTATATGTACAGCAATGTAGTTTTTCTTAGACAATGAACAGAGAACCAGGTTAACCGCTTGGTTAGTACCTATATCCACTGTACCGATGATACACGGTGTTTCTGACCGTATTTCTTTTTGCATCGCTTGTTGACATGGAGAAAGGGTGCTCACAGACACGTCCGCGTTCCGATGTCGTCAAAATTATATTTTGAGAAGATCCCTCAAAGCGATTGTTACCAAGATGAAGAGCACGCGCTCGTCGTTAGAAACATGCGTTGAAAACTGCGCACTGTTAAAGGGCCGAGCCACCTTAATCTGTTTTTAACATTCTTATCTATCTCATTGAACATGTTAAGATATTTACACACCATTGAAAGCCCAACCTCCGAAAATCCTTACTTTCATGAAATCGTGCCTATCATTTAAATCGTTCGAGTGTATATATATTGTTTTACTATTTTCTACTATGAAATCTTTAAACTTTACTGTCAATTTCGACATCTTCTTATCAATGATAGCATATCAGTGTATTTCGAAAATAAACAGCACATGGATACAAGTATAAGGATTGCTATATCAAATATGACCTGAACATCATGATCTTTCGAAAATTAATCTTTCATATCAAATGTCCCCTAACTTTGGACAACAATAATTAATATATAAGTATTATATTTGTGTTTTGTCTTTACACTCAAGATCAAAGATTAGAAAACAAAATATAGTTTCTTCTTATGTATTATGTTACGCTACCGTCCCAGGTCAGGGCAGGGTTGGGCCTTCTTTAACATGTTAAACCTTGTCACATTTTGTATGTGCCTGTCCAAAGTCAGGAGCCAGTAATTCACCGGTTGTTTTTTGTTTTGCTGTATATTATGTTTTGTTTTGTTTATTATTTATACATAAATCAGGCCCTTAGTTTTCTCGTTTGAATTGTCTTACATTTTCATGTTGGGGCGTTATGTAGCTTGCTACGTCTACCACTTTTGGTCTCTGGTGGAAAGTTGTCTCATTGGCAAGCACGCCATGATTAAGAAGCAGAATAACACCTATAGTTTGATAAAAAGAATTACCCATTTTGCAGAGGAGGACAATGATATAAATTTAGTCTAGAAATTAAGTGCTATTCAAGATATTAGGAAAAACCAAAACGAGTCTTCAAGAAATTACAAAGAATGCAATCAAAGTAATTCGAAATAGGGAAGACAATTAAAAAATCATGGAAAAAAAAAATAAGTCGAAAAAGGGAAGACAATTACAATATTATGGCAAAATAAAATAAGTCGAAATATTTCATCAACAAACCTTAAAACAGTACAAATAAAATCACAACCCCAAAATTTCAGGTCCATTAATGGCAAAAAAAAGGAGGACAGAAATGTGGTTTTGATAATTGATTATTTGTGACACACATATTCCTAAACAGTCAACCAAGATATGGTAACGAACGGTGTCAATTTTACTGTACCAGATGCGGATTTAGATATATAATTATTGACCCTTCAGTGATGATCAAGGTCAAAATATTTGAAAATCCAAACAAGTTAGCCAAATACAGACAACTGTCGAAGAAGTTATTTTAGTTGCGCTGAGTTTTGTTGCATCTTTGTAAACAGAAGTTTGACAACCTTTATCATGTTTATCAAAGATATCGTCATTGGAAGCGTTATTGTTTTTACTTAAAATATACGTACATGATGTTTCAATAATTTACCGTCTACAACTTATGCATAAGCCGTTGGGTATTTACATTCGCATGAAGCCATTTTCAATAGCACTTTCTAAACTGGACTCTATTTACAAACAATTTATGTTAAGTCCTGTTACCAAACAATATTCTTATCGATACAAAACCCCATGTGTTTATAAAACAAATTAAACCGTGCTATGTACTAAACAAACAAGCTGAGCTGGACTTTTTATTTGACACAGTCGTCATAAAGATATGTTATCCTATACGGAAACATTATTCTGACTCAGAGCCGACCAGTCTTTGCTTTTAATCCTTTAAACGCCAAAATAAGATTTGCAAGTCTTTGGTTTGACCTGACTGTGATCGAACCCCTGTCCTTCTTACAACCAAAGAATATCCCATGGCAATGATCATATAGATATTGAAATTGAAACACTTTGGTGTAAAAAAGATGCATATGAGTACGAAACAAACTGGAAACATTTTTATAAGTTCGTTGTTTCTTTAAAAAGTCAAGAAGATTTTCTCAATCCAAGCCTTTTCTGTCTTTTTATTTGGACTGTTGTACAAGAGTGTGCCTTCTTCCTTTGCTGTCTATAACTAAAGCTATATTCATATATATGTATTGCTGTCATCTTACAAAAATAACAGCACAAAACAGCTAGGAATATATACCAGAAATGATGGTTGATCGAGCACTAAACTGTTCGACCAAACAGAAGACTTGCATTATTTATTATGAACATCCCAACATTGCCTGCATATACAGTATTTGGCTACATTTTGATTTATTATTCCATAGCTTGGGTTTGTCTATCGAGATTGTTTTGGTAGAGAGTTCCTGCTTAAACTAAATCAATGAACGAATGTCATCATTACTTCGTTGACAGTTACAGAATATGTATGTCACGAATGATTATTCTATTTCTTGTCACTCGTGAAGAAGTGTGCCTCCTCTACCGGAGCACATGAGTTAATTTGTGTTTTAGTTGGATTCTTCTTGTTACTTACAGTAACTTTTATATTATTTGTGACTAACGGGACTACTTTTCCCTTTTTATTTTAGTTTCCCTTTCCTAGATTGTGCTGTTTTTTTTTAAACCTTCTTACGGAATACGTAATTCTCTGTTGGTTTAAATTTATTCAAAAGTTGTCTAGACAATTTATAACTTGTTTTATGGTATATGCACGCAACTAATGTAAACTATCTTATATTACTCTTTAAAGATTTTTTCCTGGTATCGTGATATTTTTGGGTTGTTGTCTCATTGATTCACACCATACATTTGTTTCTTTATATTAAGTCTGATGTTCAATAATAATACTGAAGTCACAGCACTATTTTAATTTGTTTCATGATTTAAATTACAATTGCAAAGTGTACATATTAGTATATAGATTAATAGATTAAACAAATTTTAGTTAGGAAAAAAAACCAGTTGAAGAAACCAAGCATTAATGTTAGTGTATTTATTGTTTCATGTAACATCATCACATATTACATATATTGCATGCATTCAGATCCGGTTTACAAACTTTTTCAAATTTTGTACACAACTTCTATGGCCATTTTCGTTTGATTTATTTGTATCTTATTGAATAATTTTGAAAGTTCTAACTAAAATCTAAGCTATTCATATTATTTATAAATGAAAAATCTCCGCAAATGTTCTACAATTTTTGTGAGATAGGGTATACATTCGACAAATTAAGATGCCTAAAGAGACATCTTCATTCTGCTGAGGGTTCCTAGATTTACAAGCTTTTCTAAAAAGAATGCAGCATCTGCTAACTTCGTAACTAACAAAGCGATGTCTGCAAGTCCACCGGTAGCAACCAACATCGTAATGAAAGCAGCAATCTGTGCAGAGGTCAAGATCCAATCGTACCAGGGCATATCCGAAAGAAGTGCTTTCGTTATCTTCCAGAAGATACCGTCTTCAAAGGCATCAACTACTAGCATAAAAATATCTTTTGCCATAGCTGGAAAATCGTCTTGATCTTTACGTATCTGTTCAACGTCTTGTAGCAGGGTATTATCTTTTCCCAGTTCTTCTATGACAATATTGATAACTTTCTTAACTTCTGCTTCGTCATCAGGAATTCCAATTCCAATTATCTCAAGGACGAGAATGATAGCTTCTACAACAATGCTAGCTGTTTGCAAATCACTTGCCTGCTTCAAATTTACTGATGAACCAAGGGTAATAGCAGGATACATTTCTTTTCCATTTCTCTTAATTTGAGCTTTTTTCTCTTTTTCGTTGATGTTTATTTGATAAGTTTTCATTTCAAGGGCTTTCTTCATCTTTGTTATCCGTTCTGGTGTCAAATGTGAAACTGCCTGTTCGCCCTTCTTACCTTCCTTCCTTATGTTATGTAAGGTTTGCGATAGCTCTTTAACTGTTGATTCGGCTTTATTCCGGATTTCATCAACTGTTTTTTTGTCCAAAGTCTTATCGGGGCATTGCTCTCGTGCAGTCTCTGTTGCTGCTTTCGTTATGAATGAATGGAACAATTTGTCAGTTGTTTCTGATGCCATATTTGCTGTAAAATAACATTCGAAAATTCAGTACATAAAACAATCAAGTGAAAACGAATTTTAAGTAAAATACATTATACTAGCAATCCTATATTTGATAAGTGCAAAACACACTGTTCTCGAATGAGCTGCTCATTGTAGGTTTCCGATTCATGCATAGATTTAAGGTTAAATTAACAAAAAAATGGCATTTCAATTATTTATTTCAAAATAATGGACATACACTTATAGATTTACGTCATGTGGGCTTAAAATATGTATAATTTGTAAATACTCTGCTCTCAAACTAGCTATTTGATGAAATGAAGGATACATATGCATACATCGGCAGAGAGAAATTGTAACCAACAAATGTTAATAAATTCAAAGAACTCGATATAAATCATTACAGTGCCCTTAAGAGAGAAATGATCAAAGCTGCATGACAAAATCATTCATTTTGTATCTGTTTTTGGTTATATTTCCTGATAACCAAATTCAAACAAGAACACTGAATGTGAGATATTGATATAGATGCCTGAGCCTTCTGTTCAGTTGTAATTTCTACTTCAAACATTTATTGACAATTTGAAAAATATTTGACCTAGTAAAAATATATGTAAAATGGTTACTTTAACAACGCTGATCTATCAATAGTGGATATGAATGAACTATTTACAGTAATAGAGAGGAATCGCTTCAGGGTGTTAATCTATTTGAAACAGAAGTAAAGAAGTGCTAAAATAAAATAACGCTTTATAAACTTCGTGCGTCCAAAACCCTTTTCTGGATGTGTTTTCAATAGGAACACTCAAACCTAAGCATTTGAAAACCAAGGTTGTAAGAATACATAGCTACGTTAGAACCTATATGTCCAATATGGAGATAGAAAGAATAACAAAATTCATCTAAGGTAAACTTTGCCTGAGGTTAAAAGTAAAAATAAAGTAGATATTACGATACAAATGTTCAACATATAATGAATGACAAGAAGTTTGATGTTAAAATATAAAATTAAGGAGATGTGGTATGATTGCCAATTAGACAACTATCCACCAAAGTTCAAATGCAGTTGATGTAAGAAATTATACGCAACCGTGAGGCCTTCAACAATGAGAAAAACCAATACCGTATGGTCGGCTATGAAAGGCCCCCACATGAAAAATATGAAACAATTCAATTGAGAAAACTAACGGCCTAATTTATAACAAAACAATTTACGAAAAACCAATATGACAGACATGAACATACGACAACCACTGAACTACAGGCTCCTGACTTGGGACAGGCACATAAAACCCATGTTTAAAGGAAACATTGATTGATTCATGAATTGCTGTTTAGCTTCCGGCGCTAATAGTGAAGTGTCAATAAAGTTTTTAGAATATTAAAATAAGGACAGACAACACAATATTCACTGATAATTGCCAAATCCTACAAAAGTCAACTTTGCCTGAGAGAATTTTGACCATAGTTTCTTAATAATTTCTAAATTTGTCAACGGCAAATTACCGTTTTTTGACAATTACAAACAACTTTTATTAAAATCTATATGAATCTTTGTCGTCAAGAGAACTTGAAGCACTTCTGGAAATGCAAGAAAAAGAATTCCGAAGTAATTTGATTAATGAAATGCAGGTAAATAAAATTATATCATAGCTTCACGCTTTGCAATTAATAAAAAAAATTGTACCCCACCTTTTGTAGTATTTGAAATATTTATTTTCTGTCTTAAAGAGCTTATGATGACGACTCTTTATTCTTAGCACTGACAGAAAGAAATGTGTAAGCATCTTAACTTTATAACTATCAACCATTCAGTAGAATTTTGTATTAGTGATATCAGTATAGGCGCAGAATACTAACCTGACTAAGAAGTTTCTTCTAATGTTGTGTTGTTTTTTACGGGAGAATTCTGTTGGTAACACTTACTTTTGAGAAAGAAACCTGTAATCATATATTTACAAAGATGATACAATGATGTTGCTACTTAAGGAGAAAAAAGTTTTTTTTTCGAAATTGGAATCATCTAATTTGTCATAGTGAATTGTATTTTTCAATGATACAAGTCCTAGTATGAAACAAACCCTGGTTTTTTTTAGACAGATTAAAGGTAGACAATATTAAATTGTATTATTGTTTAAAGAATTTTCACAATCTACATTGGAGAAGCTTTGATTTACAAAATGCAGAAAAAGCTAAAGTTTACAAAATGCAGAAGAAGCTAAAGTTTACAAAATGCGGAAGAAGCTAAAGTTTAAAAAATGCGGAAGAAGCTGAGATTTACAAAATGCGGAAGTTTTATAATGAAAGTTTTCATTAGTTTTTAAACAAATTTTTCGTTATAATCAAACTAAGTCAGTGCAACTGGTGTAAAAAAAACTGTAATGAAAAATCTAAAACACGCGTATCTCATTTTTATACGCCCGTCAATTTTTGAAGGGACGTATTATGGTATACAACTGTCCGGTGTCCGTCCGTCCGTCCGTCCGTCTGTCTGTCCGGCGTAAACATGTCGCACCGTAACTTGAGAATGACTTATCCAAATTTCATGAAACTTAAGATAGTTGTTTCTTATGATGGTCAAACGATCTGTATACTTTTTGGTGAAAATAAGATTAAAACTTTTTGAGTTACGGGACTTAGTAACTAAAACAGGTGTGTGGTTTTTTTTTTCACATGTCGCGCCGTATCTCAAAAACAATTTATGATTATTACTTAAAACTTTACACACTTCTTAGTTATATTAATCTTAAGATCTGTATACTTTTTGGTGATGATTCAAAATTTTATTTTAGAGATATTGAGTATTTTGTTAAAAAAGGGGGAGGGGTTTTTCACATGTCGCGCCGTATCTCGAAAACAGTTTATGATTATTGCTTAAAACTTTACACACTTCTTAGTTATATTAACCTTAAGATCTGTATACTTTTTGGTGATGATTCAAAATTTTATTTTTGAGTTATTGAGTATTTTGTAAAAAAAAGGGGGAGGGGTTTTTAACATGTCGCGCCGTATCTCAAAAACGATTTATAATTATTACTTAAAATTTTACACACTTCTTAGTTATATTTATCTCAAGATCTGTATACTTTTTGGTTTTGATTTAAAATTTTATTTTAGAGATATTGTTTTTTTGGTAAAAAAAAAAGGGGGGTTTTCGCATGTCACGCCGTATGTCAGAAACTATTTATGTTTATTGCATAAAAATTCACACACAAGACGACGGGCGTATCATGCGCTCATGGCGCAGCTGTTTATTATTTTCTTCGTATTTTTGTTTGGGGGGAGAAGGGTTACATGTCTGTCAGCTATCTGAAAGTGGGAATAATGTATTTTATAGAGCAATTTGTCAAAAGCCACTGAATTTTGATTCTTTAATTAAAAATTAATATCAAACAATATCTATATTATTTTCCGATTAAGGTGGATTTGGTGTCTTCAGCCATCTTGGTTGTAAAATAGCAGAAAACAATATCAGTTTAAATCTTAAATGAAATACGCAAATTTTGAAAGAATGCGATTCATTTTTATCTTATTATGACGACTGATTAAAAAAAAAAAGAATATGTTTTGTTAGACTGAATTTTGTTTCCATTTATTTTGATGTAAGAATGTTTTACTGTATCTATTTTGTTTATAACAAGACCACCATTTTCATGGCCAATTGTTTTCTTTTTATTCTCTGAAAACACTTCATAAGAACTATTTTTTCGTAATATTTTGTAAAATGATATCAATAAGTTTACTGTCAATTCTCACAAAATTGGGTTTTCCGTGTATAATGAAAACAAAATCTGATTTTTGAACAACGTGCAGCTTGTAAAAAGCTTAGTGACACATACTTAATTTTATGTTTGGCGGAAACTTGATGTAAACTACGTTTTCGTTAAATATCAAAACGTTATATCGTATTTAATCGGGACCCCGTCTACCTTAAGCAGATCGGATAAATGAATAAATTTCTAAATCCAAGATCATCATTAAATCAATATTTTTAACAATATGTCTAATATAGAGAGTAATGATATGATTGGCAATGCAACTATCTAACATAGTCAAAATGAAGCGGATTTAAGCAACTTTATGTCACCATAGGGCATTCAAAATTGACGAAAACCCATACCGTAGGGACAGCTATAAAAGGCCCCGATATATAAAGATGTGAACTAATTTAAACAAAAAAAAACCAACTGTTTGATTTATGACAAAGCAATAAAAGAAAAGCAAATATGAGAGACAACAACCATTGGCAATCACTGATTCAAGCCCCTGTGAGGGACAGGCACATATAGACTATGGTAGGATTAATCATGTCTGCATGTGAGCGTTCAACTCTCCCCTATAAATGTTGCCATTTACGACATATTTAAATTAATTGTGTGGAACACAAATATTTGAATTATAAGATTTGTACCAGTACTTTTTCTTGATCGAAATTAAGATAAAATTTATTATAAAGTTTAAGCAATAAAAATATTCTAACCACAAATGAATAAAAAACAGAATAATAAAGAAAAGTTTTAAGCATGCATATATTGTCAGAATTCACAAGCAGAAGATTAATTGTTCATTCCAAAATGGAGGGACTTTATAAAACACAAAATTAAATCAAAGCAACAAACAAATGTGTCTATTTTATCAGGAAACTAACACTGTTCAAATTTTCCAATTTTGAAATATTATCGTAAAAGCTTTACTAATTTTCGAATTAAAAAATATAACAGCTTAAAAGCAAGATGTACTTACGTTGAGAGAAATATGTGGACTTTCAGTGAAAATGACAGAATACCCTTTATATATACCAACTGTTTTGGCTTATCGCCAATGTTTGAAAAAATTCTTTTGATTCTTACCCACCCATTTTCTAGAAAATACCTCTAATTGTTACGTTTTCGAGAATTTAAAATTCTCTGAATTAATTCTGCATGAATTAACAAAAAATATGTTGTGTAAAAAGCAGGGCCAAATTTGGACTGAAAAGTGATAAAAAATCATATGACTATTGTGTAAGATTTTTTTAAAGGAATGTGGAAAGTAAAGTTTAAACTGAAATATCGGTCAAATCTCATGAACATTTAAAGTTATGTTGTATCTAAAGATAGAATAATTTGATTGTTTTTGAGACAATTGATACAGATGAATAATTTTTACACTTATTTGTTTGTGACATATTTGAAGCTCAAGCAAAATAAATATTTGCATGCGATAAAGCGTTTATGTAGGAGGGTCTGGTTGAGGGGTCCCTCAATTATGTATTCTTTAAATTTTTAAGTAATTTCAATGATTTAAAATTTTAAAACGTTACATGTATATCAGGGTGATAACTAGAAAATGTATTTTGTTTATAAAGAAATGTACAGCATAATACCAATTTTGTTGTATAGAAAGAAAACGAGAATGATTTTTTCTTGAAAGTGTTTGTAAAAACTATCTCATCATATGTTATTTGAAAGAATTTTAAAATACTTAAAATGTGACACGATATTGAACTGTAGAATAAAGGCAACAGTAGTATACCGCTGTTCAATAGAAACTTGAATCAAATATATTTAGATTCTGCGAATCCAAAACCCTCCTACTTAATTCGATAAAAGTCTTGTATATTTTTCGTGGAAGTTCAAGTACGAGAAACGGCATGGATCTATAGAAATAATTATAATGAAGGCAGTTCTTATGAACAAAATCTCACATATCTAAATAACAGTGTCGAAAAAAAAAATAGTAATAAATAATGTAAATAGAATCTATACGGAGGATATTGATGTTTGTAAACAAATCAGATACTGTCAGTTATCTAAGAACAACAGTTAACATTTATTTTCTGGAGGAAATGGTCACTACAATAAATAGTTTCAAAATTTGAATTTTCATAATAGATTCATTGTTATAATAAATAATGTTCTACATGTCATGCATTTACACTTTTGTTACAGTTATTCCTCTAAGTCATCAGGCCAATATCAAACAGACTTATGAATGTCCTGTTGTTTTACAGTTATTGGTTGTTTAATTAAGATGTTCTCCTCTTCAATTGCTAATTCGTTAGATTATATGAAATATATTTCCGTTTATTATTTAAGCCATATACTGTGTTTTAATCAGATTTGTTATAAATACTGTTTTGTTCTGTGTATGTTTCATATATGTTCTATTTTATAATCATCTTAATGTCGGGCACTCTATTTTACTGCATGTTGATTTAAAGAAATAGTGTCTAATAAAAACATTTACGAAACCAAGTTTACTGCATCCGGTTGACTCCTCTTCAATGATGATCGACGGGATCAGGAAACTAAATCATGAAAATGGAGCGAATCTATGTTCATTTATTTTAGAGAACGATAAAAGGGACCACAATACAAAGATTGCTTTTGTCACCAATCAGACAACTTTAAACTAGGATATTTACGTTCAAACAGCACCAAAAATTGTTCTTGAAAGAAAATTTAAAAATTTTTTAGTATATAATTGTTTATAATGGAAATAGTTTTTAATAGACTGTGAAGTTTCTTTTAATTTAAAATGTTTGATAGTTTTATATTGCAACACCGTTTGACTTTTCTACATGTCCTACGATAAATTAGTACTACGATTGGATATCTTAACTTAAGTTGTTTTATGCATATCAGCCCAGAGTATTACCAGGTTAATTTGTAGCTTGTACGTTTCTAAACCATTTTTAGCTCACCTGAACCGAAGTCCAGGTGAGCTATTGCCATCACTTGGCGTTCGTCGTTATCGTTAACATTCTTACAAATCGTCTCCTTTGAAACGACAAATCGGATTGGAACAAAAGTTTGTGTTATTTTTTCTTAGAGTATCCTGCACAATACTAATATGGCAACATTTATCCGTCGGCAAACATTGTCGGTGTAACTTAACAAGGACCACCACAGGGTCAAACAACAGGTTTATTTTGCAAATATCTCAAAAACCATTAGTTTGTGCCAGAGGTTAAAATGTTTAGTATGATGAGATCTATCCTTGGACCATGCCGATTTTTTTTACTTGAGGATCAGTAGATGGAGATGTATTGCCCTTTATTGATACTTTGAGTATTTTGATGTTATTATGTTAAAACTTCTTCTTCTTAAGGTGGTACCTAACACTACAGGGAGATAACTCTGTAAAAATCAGCTAAACGTTTTAATTACGTTGTATTGTTAAGAAAATATTAAGCTTCTCAATGATCAAAATTGTTGTTTGTCAAACTGCTATATAACCAATGAAATTTTTCTGATAAAGTGGTTGGTTCAAATTTTTTGAAATTTTTATATTTTTGTCAAAGGGTCAAAGTAAACATTTGGTCAAAATTTTATGAAAATTAAACGAGCCAAATTAATATTAGTCAAGGTGTTGGGTACCACCTTAAAACCAGGAAGTGGATTGGAACCAAACTTCATGTAAATATTCCTTAGGATATCCTGAAGAAAAGATGATAAAACAATTTTCGATCCGTCGCAAACACGAAAGTTGTTACTTATACTTACTTACAAATTTCGCAAAAACCTTATGTTTTGAGCTAAATCCTAACAAGGGCAAACAAAAAAGTATGTGTATTTACTGTTCCATGCTGAAAAAATAGGGTCGGTGGGTAGTTAAGAGTGCTTAATGAAAAATAGTCCCAAAATTTTTTAGGGTGGGTAGCGGAAGAGTAAACACACATACTTTTTTTTGCCCAGTGGGTAGAAGTGTTCAGCATGAATATATCTGTCAATAGAGGTCGATCAACAGATTTTGCAAATATCTCAAAGACCGTTATAGTTTTTTTTTTATAAATTGGGAGAGGGTCATTTGTTCAGCATGATAAAACATATCCATAATCAAGAGTTAATGACAAAGTAAAAAAATGGAAAACACCAAATAATATACATGTACAGACCGACAAAAAAAATTAAGTACAAATGAACATCAAAGAACTCATTTTCAAAATGGGTAAAATGTGTTATTTTTTAAATGTGTCTTAAGTGGATGTAGCTAGATATACATATCTTTAATTTAATGCAAAATATTACACATATTCTGAGTTTTAAATTATAAGAGCATATAATAAAGTTAAATTTAAATTACTCGTCATCAAATTTATACTTTGTCTTGAAGTTTCATACGTTCACTGGAAAAGGTCCTCTGCTATCGCTTTTCTTATGTTTTTAGCATCACCTATTTGCCCATCGAAATTTCCGCAAATAGCCCTAGCATTTTCAACGTCCCTTGTTACTTCATCATCAAACTACTCTTCGATACAGACGTCCTTGTTAATTTCACAAATATTGCGGAGAATAACACAGTCTGCAATGACATCCAACAAAAATGGAAGCTGGCCATCAAATCGCTTGAGCAGTCTTCTAAACTGGGCCTTTAATCGGCCAAAAGAGTTTTCTACTTTTTCTACTACCATCCTTCCACTAGATAATTTGTAGATGTATGATTCATGTATTTCTGTTAGTTTTCCTATAAACGGGGTCATTAACCTTGGTAGAAGTGGGTAGGCGGCATCTCATATCAAATGAAGAGGTACGTGTGTGTTATTTAGATTTAACACCTTCTCTGGGAAAAATCCCTGGTTTCCAATTTCAAAAAGCGAAGAATGTCTGACCACTCGGGCATCGTGTTCTTTTCCAGGTCATCCGACACTTATATCTATCAATTTATCTACCTGCATAATAATACTGTAATGATCTTTCCGGTTGTAAAAGTCACTCGAGTTCTCAGAAGGCACAATTATAGGCATGTGCGTGCCGTCTATAGCACCAATGGTTTGTGGAAATCCTAAGTTGGCGAAGCCGTTTACTACATTATCATCCCCTTGGTTTCCTGGGAATTTTACGAATGTTTTAGTCTGAACTTGTCTCATTTTCATGCATGCTTCGTGTACAACATCACACGCCGTCGATTTCCCTAATCCAAATAATGCAGTCATCGATCGAAAGTCCATCTGCGTACCAAGATACCAGAAGTTGGAAGTCTTTTGCCAAAAGGAACAGCCGATCGCATCACTGTGTCCTTCTTTTATATGTGGACCTAGCTTTTCTACCAAGAAACTAAATGTTTCATTTGAAATTGTAGTATGGTGCCTCCAATCCCAAACTGACCAAACATTTGTTGCTTCATTGTAAATGTCAACTGTTCTTTCTTTTGCCCACAGAGCTCTTTCTGTGCATGGCATGGTAGCAAGAGCAACAAACAACAAACATGTCATTTTTCGCTTTCGTTGCAATTTGCCCTATATCTAGATTTGCCGAAAATGCAAACATCTTCGAAAGTTAAATTTAATTTCACCAAATCTAATTATATAATGAATCAACAGCCTTAGCTTGGTAGTATTTTCATTGAAAATGTTTCTGAAAAGTACTAAATGAAAATCACAACTTCAATCCAGTCAGTATTGAGCGCTATCGAGAAAGTGCAAAAATTCAACATTCAACATTTTACTGATAAAAGTCACTCAAAGAGCTACGTTGGACATCAACTATGTATTGGTCGATCAACGCCATAAAATCATTTCACAAAAATATCGTGGAAAGTCCATTAAATGTTTCAATGGTCAGTGGTCACTATGCTATAAAATTACTCGAATGATTAACCATTAACAACTGCATATGTGTTATTTTCTTCTATCAGTAAGGAATGTGCACTTTTTACCAAACAAAATACCATTAAAACGCACTACCAGTTTAAAAATAGAAAGACATATTTTGTTTTCAGTGGTTATATTGGAGTATTAAGACAGGAAAAGATTTTTTTTTGTATTTTACTAACCACAATCTTTAAGAGAAGATAATGACCTTCAAACAGGGGGTATGATTATACAATTTGT